TATTACTTCCTCGTGGAAAGACAGGAAGGATTCAAGCACTGAGAATTCTACAGACTGAAGGTGCAGTGCCAACTTCACTGCTTTGCCTTCTGTTCCCAAATTTTTGTACTTCAAAATATTTGAAAAACCCAATAGAAACAAGCTTGTTCTTTACAGGTCTTGATTATGCAAGGACACACAGTGAACAAAGTTAGGAAAAATAAGATTATAACTGCACAGGGGTGGCTTAAAATTAAAACAATAAAGTAACATCATCTGTGTATCAACAAGACCAGATAGGCTTGTGTAAATGGAAAATGGCTGCTTCCTAATAGATTAAGGCAAATTTTTCCACAAGGGGGAGCGGTATATAAGTTGTATAAATCTTTGCACTATGTTTAACATAGAAAGATGGAGGCTACGTAGCCGTTTCTGTCTCAACTGCCAAGAAAAGCCACAGGTCAAAGAGGAATCAAACTGGTTTCAGTACCCACTTTTGGAAAGGGGTAGAAATAAGGAGGAAGACCTTGCACCCCTTGCCATTTTTCTTCTGTATGCTCAGTATCAGTCCTGCAGTTGGCTGGCACGCAAGAAACACGCCACAGCCAGCAGGACCACATTGCCTTTTTGCAGCAAGAAAGGAAACATCTGGTAAGCAGAATCTGTAAGAAGTCAGGGGGAGAAAATGGAAATGGAATACTAGATCTTCTGCCTATTTGAAGTATGAGCAGAAGGTGTCTACATAACCCAGAACTCTGAGCAATCATCCCTTGTCATCTAGTTCAGGCCACACAGGAAAGAACTGTATTTTGACACGTGGTGTAGAAATTAAACTTATATACATGTGCAGAGATGTATTAAGGAACTATCCAGCACAGCAGTCATGGGTCTCAGAATCATAAAGTAAGTTAACAACACGACTATGAAAAGTGAGCTTTTTTAGGCTATATATTTATTAGAAGCAGTATTAATGTATGAATCCACCTTGGAAGAAAATAAGTGTCCTTGAGATGTTAGATTCTATCAGCCAAATTGAATGTCTGCATCAATGGCTCTCCCTAAAAGTCATAATTAGGTCATTAAAATATATTTAGAAAAATAGCCTGTAAAATAAAGTTAAAAAATACTCACCTTCATTTTATTTCATAGGTCACTGTTATACCATCTAATAAGATAATTAAAAACATGCAAGCAGCTGGTACTGAGGCTAAACAGATTAATGTAATAGTCTGTAGTCATATGTGCTGGCAAGGGGTTCACCTCTTTGGCGAGGAGAAGGTCAGCTGCCCTTGGGAAGGGAGGAGAAAGACAGTTTTTCTGCTTTTCAGTGACACTGCATTGCAGATACTGAAACTAGAGACCCACACCTATTTTTCTTTTCCCTCTTGGTGAAGTCCGGCCCATTGGACATCCAGAAAAGGCTTTAACTGTAGCAGTAAAAAAATATGGTAGATTGGAACTCAAATATTTTCCCTAAGTTTCTTACAAATTAAAGATGAAAGTTACTGTATGTCTAAATCCTTGTTCAAATGTTTCAAATAGTGAACTTCTAATTTTGATGATATGGTTCTAGGAAATAATTTTCATAATTTCTTATTAGTAACGCTTTCTCCCAAGTCCACAAAGAATAATTCCATCAGACCCTAAAGACCAGCTAGAAAATTTTCTGTGACCTGACAGGACACATTCATAAACTCACAGAATATTTAGAAATATGTGCCAGTCACATGTGCTTTTCCCTTACATTACTTACAAACTTTACGACCTAATGGGAAATGCTCACTATCTGAACACGTGAAGCATTAAATCTGTGCCATGATCAACACAAGCAAGAGTCACAAACTATAAGGTGACACCATCATATTAAAAATAAAACCATACAAATAGTTCTGGAGCATCATAAATATATCAAAGGATAATGATCTGTCATCCTTTATTAACACACACAGACACACACACAGACACACAGACACACACACACACACACTTGGAGTCTTCTACTGGAGAGTGTCAAATTGTCCTTTAAAATAGAAAGTGTGGCAACCAAGTAACCTCCCCTGGGGTTTATTTTATTGTTGTAAAACTAACATGCTTTTAAGAGCAATTTAATAACAAAACATATTCACATTCAAATATTTTTGGAGTTGTCTCTTCTCCTAATAAATTGCAAAGGCCTGCTACTGATAAAATGTAAAGTAACTTTTGTTTCAGTAAAAATCTGCAGTAGAATTTTTTTATGCATTAGCCTTCTGCATGTATAATATTTACCACAACCCAAAGATGCCTTTGCCTCTTTTAGGGCAAAAATTCACTAGCCAGTCTTTTTCAAATATGGCAGACTGAAACACATTGGGTAAACAAGACTATGATCTACCAAATTAACTTACTGAAACAATAATACTCGACAATATTCTAAATAAGTCAAAATTTCTAATCAGTCCTTAAAGAAATAATAACATTTACCAACTTACCATTCAGGGTAGTTTAGGATTCACTTTTCATCTTTCATAAGGTATTAGCTGCTCATTTTTACTTAACGCAGTCTAGAACTACAACTATCAACACAATATTTAACCCAATCACCAACTTTATAGCCAGTCTCATTGTATGACAGGAGTTACTTGCCACTGTGCAACAAATATTCACTACACACCACAAACACTGTAATACTACTTAGTAACAGTGATAGCTTGCCAATTATTAAAAGTCAGAGGTTTCTTTCGTATATATGTATACACAGACACCTCCCCAACACCCCCCCCCCCTTCTCTACTGTCTTGCTTTATCATCTTGCCTTTAATTTATAACAAGAATACTCTGGAAATTGTATATGGGACTGCTTTTAAAAGATGAATTAACTTCAGTTTTCTAAGTTGGGCTGTAATCCTCTCTGACAGAATACAACTGTTATTCAGTGGAACTCATAGAAAACATCACATTTATTATATGTGCTTTGGACTAAGGAATATGGAGATACAAAGATCATCTTTAACCTCTTAATTTGTGGAGCATTAAAGATGGCTGAGGATTCACTGCGGTTTAGGCTGATTTGAGTAAGTGGTATCATGCTCTGTCCTCCCACTTATTTCTAGCTGTCTATGCTAGCTACATTCCTTCCACTGGCACTGATACCCCTCTGAAGCTTTGGCAGGAGGACACTGTGATAGAAGTCATCAGAAAACTCTCCCTATGAAGAATGAACAGGTTGGGCTGGGTTAGCTCTGTAGCTCCCTGAGAGATGAGTGCTACTGCATGAGTGGAGCAGGGTAGGAAGAAGGGGTCAGACCCCAGCTCCACAGCTTACACTCTCGTGGAACCAGAGCCCAGATGAAGCTGGCTGCTACAAGTGTTACCCCTTGGCAGGTACAACAGCTGGAACTCTTAAGTTGATGACTTTTAGGAATAAGTGTCCTGGAATTAATGGCAGATAGAGCTCTCAACTTTCTTTTGTTCATCTGGCTAAATTCTATCTTGTCTCTTTTTCAGAGACTGCTTTGTGGTCTCTGTATCTACATATGCTTCTCACCTAAAACCCACAAAGATTATTCTGATTTGTATTTTTGAGCCCTTCTTTTAACATATATAGTATGTTGCACACATTAGAGAACATGAATACGACAAGAAACAGAGTCAGGCAGAACCCTGAAATGGATCTGCTAAAATATTTTTATCAAAGTGAACATACTAACTACCCTAGAAGAGTTTGATGTCATCACAAAGTAGATTTCATTAGAGTTGACTTACTAGGATACCTAAATCAAACCTCCCCAGTCCCACCGTGTACCTGCAGGCACACCCTTTTTTCCAACCTTGCTCTCAGTCCAGAAGCTTCCTCTGGGTGTTTGAATCGCAGCAAACTCTTTGCTGTTCCCTCTAGGTCCTTACAAAAAGTCTTTCTTTTCAACATCCTCAAGACCAGGTTGTTTGCTCCTTGCTCTCCTTGGCAATCTCTCCGTCCCCAGCATGCAACAGGTTTCTCCAGCATTGTGTCCCTCCCTGCCACCCCACGCCTGAAGGCTCCTCATGACCAGCTCGGCGCCTGCACCACAGTGTGGTATTCCCCGCCCAGCCGGCTGCAACCAGGACAAGGCAAACAGGCAGGTTCCTCCTGCCTGACTACACCTCTTTGAAGTACACACTCCAACAGACTACAAACAAAAAATGAAAAAGATGCCAACCAACACAGTTCACTAAATGATTTCAAAATAATCATGTGGTAGGCTTGTTTCGTTTTACCATACTTAAACATCAAAATCAGATGTAATCATTCCAGTTAGCATAAATCATACTATTAATTTACTAGTCACAAGGACAAAGATTTTTTTTGTAGGAAGGGAAGTATTTTGAGGAGTGAAAGATGAAACTGCATACCTGCTGATTATCTTTCTGTGCTCTCAAGCACAGGACACCCTCTGGTATGTACCCAAACAAGACTCAAGCTCAGTGACATTGCTGCAAAAGGTTACTGAGCATCGTGTTTCTTAAGCTGCTGTTTACTACCAACAGAATTGAAATATTATTTTCCTATCAAAGAACCTCAAATTTAATTAATCCTGGGTTTGGTTTTTGACCTGAAATAATGAGCAAATAGAGTTCCACATGGTCCATAGATCCAGTTACTTTGGAGAAGATCAGAAAGGTGACCACTGATAAGTTGAATATTTCAACATTTAGCTTAGTTGCTCTGAATTTAGTTGAGACTTTCTACTTTACTGCATACTTTGGAGAAAACAAAAAAAAAAGACCCTTAAAAATATTTAGCCTTACAAATATCCTGTACTTTCATTAGTTAAGTAAGCTGAATAGTAATATAGTAAAATAGTAAAAAAAATAGTAATTCAGAAAACAACTTTTCAGATCATTCCTTAATTAAATCCTTCACGTTCTTCAGTCCACTGTTTTAATTTAGATTGCTCAATCTTCCTAAAGTACAGGACATGTTCTTTCACTTTAAATAGATTATGCTGCTTATTAAAGTCAACCTTTTTAAAATTAGAAAATAAATATAAAAAATTACCAACCTGTAAGAAATAAAAGTTCCATCAGAATCTGAGGTTTGGTGTGTGCTTCCGTTTTCATTTGATCCCCCTAATAAAAAAATAAGAGAAAACACCTTTGTTTTAAGACAAACCCTGATAACAAATAAAACAATATTGATGAGAATTGCAACTGATTTTACCATATGGTAACTTTAGTTACGACAAAACTCAAATAAAACTTACTTAGACAAATCTCAATTTTACATCTTCAGATTCTTAGAGCTCTCTTAAGTAGCCTCCATGTTCAGTTTGTAGTCTAAATGTTTGGAAAATCCGATGCCTAATTTCACTTACAGTTCTGACTGAATCCCTTCTCAAATTATTAAACACAATTCTACTAGTGTAAGCTTACAGAAGTACACCATATAAGTAGATGAGCTTGATTTTACTAACATTAAGTCAAAAAATGTTAAAGTTCATCTATTTTGTGAAGCATTTTGAGTTGACTGTAGGATACCAGATATTTTTTGTCATAGCACAAGTTCAAAGCTTCTCTGAAACTACCTATTAAGATGCCTGCAAAACATCTTGTTTTACATCCTGTGGGTTGGTGATACATAAAACAGTGAGGTTCCTAAAAATCAAGGATTACAAGGAAATTTTCCTCTATAACTACTTCCATTGAAGGACTGCTAAAAGCCAGGAGTCATGTAGTCTTCAAAGTAAATTTATTCTTGTCCTGTTTCATACTGTTTATTCTTGCCCAACCTGTCATTTCTCTTGGTAACTCTTCTATGTCCCTGTGTGCCTCCTTAATTCATTTACAGATAGCACTGTGCACCTTTGTTCTGCTTATTGAAATCAAGTTCTTTCAGTCTTTTTTCTAAATGAGGCCCCTTATTCCCCATTTTGTTTAATTCAGTGCTTCTTACACACGCAAAAGAAGGGACAGGAGCTACAGACAGCATACTAAAAGTTTAGTCAGTTGATTATTTGGACAGTGGTTTCCTTCTCTTTCAAAAAAAATCTTGCTCAATACAGTCTATGGTCATGCCACATCATCTTGCAGTTTCACGGTCATCTTTAACCAAGATGCCTATATGATCACTCTCTATTTTTATTTATGAACAGCAGTTTGCAGTTTACAGTAGAAATTCTTGCTGGTGCAATACTGTGTTTCACACAATTTCATGCTGTTTGCAGTCCTCTCTTCTTCAGAAAGGACCAATCCTACCTGAATACTCTATTTGTTCCTGCACTAGATACTACCTTCTAATAAATTTTCTTAATAGAAGTTTATCAGCTCTCATTCTGTGGCAAGACAATAAATGAAAACACCGGGTAAGATCTGTTCACCCACAAAATTCACCAAAAAATAATTTTTTCATTAAAAATCTGCATTCTTTTATTTATATTAAAATTACTATACTTCATTAATCCCCATCCTTTCTATTTCACAGCATCTCCTGTGGCACTACATCAGATGATTTACTGAGGTCCAGATAGACTTAATGTATTTCCTTAATGTATATTTTGAAAGGGGAGCAGGTTAGCTGGCCACAATCTCCCATTTAACAAAAGAATCCCTGCAACAGAACTTATATAATTTGCTTTACTTTTTTCTCTTACTTCTTTCTTAAAAACTTTTCTAAACCTCTGCACAGATAATGGTCAGCCCATGCAGATACTTTGCTATCACTTTTTTTTCCCCTCTTTGATTAAGTACAGGTACTACATTTCCACTTCAAATATGTGTTATCAGCTGTGAAGTAAAATACTAAAAAATTCTTCTATGCCGCAGTATTTGTCAGTATTCCTGAAAGACATTTGCTCTTCAAGTCAGATGCTTTAATCTTTATTAGCTGTGCTAATTTATTGTATCTCTCAACACTCTCATTTATTTTATTGATTTATTTTCAGGCCTTTTTGCCCGAAATTTTGTTTTTACTGAAAATTAAATATTTTCCGATTTATACCATACCTGGATTACATTTATTATCATTTGCTCACTTCCACTGCACAATGGTTCTAGTTTTCTTCCCTGGAAAGCTTCTTTACACAGTTGAGTAAGATTTTCTTGTTAATTTAAATTCCCTTCTTATGATCTAATTCAACTTAACTTTTGCTGATTGCCACTATAACCCCACACTTTCTGATATTCAGGATGTGGCCTTCTTTGCAGATCAAGATGCTTTTCTGTTTCTTTCAGGATCTTTGCTTGCTCCTCACATTCTTTTAAAAATACTTTATCATTCGCTTTGGCATAGAACTTTCAAGTGTTTTTTTTCTCATCTAATTTGGAATGCAGTTTTTTTATTAACTTTTGCACCTTTGTCTAAAATAAATCCCAAACCTCTACTACATTTTAGTCTAATATCACTCAGTCCAGTTGATTTCACTAATTAGCTCTCTCAATTTATTTTGAAAATGGAAATCCTACTCAATCAATCTGCTTTTTGTTTACTAAATTCAACTAAATTAAAAACACCAGATATTTCATCCAGGAGCCGACCCTCCCATTATTAATAACCATCTGTTCCTTTTTTTCCTCATATCTTGTAAAATAGTCTCCCATATTGGGACAATTTTCAGTAATACGCTTTTTCATATATTGCCCATCTCCACATCTGATCCTGAGCATTCAGAGAAACGACTGAACTATGTTCAGTCTCTTTCAAAGCCATATGGCTAGGTGCAGTGATATCGGGCAACTGCTACAGGGACACAGAGCATCAAAATGGGTCCTACTACACTTTATTTATATTTATACAACTCCTAAGCATTCACCTATCACACTAGTCAGACCTGAAAAGAAAACTCATACACAATGCTAAGTGTGTATGCTGAAAAATATCTCTTTTTCAAGAATGGCAATACAATCTTCCTCCTTTTCTAAGAACGAAGTTTAAGAATCTCTCAAAAAATGCAAGGCCTTTACCATCTTTCAACAAAACCATTTGTCCTGCTTGAAGAGTTAACCGGACCTTGCAAAGAAGACCAGGATAAATAGCTGTTCTTTCACCAGGGTCCCACAAGAAACATTTGGTGGGATCCTGGTTCTGCGACATCCACTGAGCTGTTCTTCACAAACTACTCTAAGTGTAGCTTGCTTTATTCTGAAGACAGTAATCTCCTTTATTTAAATGATCACCAAAATACTTTAGCATTCTGAATTATATACCCATTGTTAATAAATCTCATTATCGCACAAGTTACTGTTGGGCATTTTTTGAGAGCTGCTTTTGCTGCATTAGAAGCAGCTACCAAAATTGGATAGGACTAGGTGTATTCAGCTCCCAAACCCAAGATTTAGTAGAGTAGGCACTTCTGTGATTGCTCTCTTGCTCCATCCCTTTTCAGATAGGTATGTCTGTTATGACACCTTGAAAGATGATGAAGATGTCTTTCATTGAAAGGGATAAAAATCATAAAGCAAAGTGCAAAGCATTCATTGACTTAAAAGAAGACTCTCTAAACTTTACCTAGTTTTATTAAAAAAGTTTTCAAGAAAATCCTATTAAGTTTCCCTAGTCAGCGATACTTGAGAACAAAAGGGAGTGTTTCTTCACTAACGAATGACATTAAGCTGTGGGAATCCCTGTCCTGGATCACCTCTCCTCAGGAAAGTTCCAATTACTCCCCCTGAAAGGTATGGTGAATTCTCAGTAGAACAGATACATTACTTCTATCTTCTTCACTGATAATGACCCAACTTTCCGGTAAAATTGGAATATATACTTAGCAGTTATGAACATAAGATTCATGATGGAGGTAACGAAATTTGTGGTCTCCTTTAAAAGTACTATTTGATTCAGTATTATCCTACTCTTTACTTTCATTCTGAGACTCAATTATTGGAAGAATGGGTCTACTGAAGAAATAAGAAGATGCTCTACCAACCCCGCCACACACCTCGTGAAAAGCTTTCCTAACTTCAAATGCAAAAGCTAAGGGGAAAAAAGGTAAAATAAATATTGTCACACTTTCAGAGGGAAAAGAAGGCAAACAAGCAATACCATAACAAGAATCCATATCAAAGTAAGTATGGTTTACAGCACTAAAGTAGTTACTGGTTTTAATACAATAATAAAATAAGGCTATATCCTTCCAAAGGGACTGAAAATGATCTGGATATCTTCTCGCTGCTGCTTTAACTGTAGAAACTCCCTCTTCTGCGAATGAAAACTTTCTCTTGGAAGAATTCTGTTCAGCTGCCCCATTTTAGCAAAATCTGTTCTTGTGCATGAAGACCAAGGGCTAAAGGCAGCTAGGACTCGAGTAGCTGGGACCCAGCACTACTGGACATAGCTGGAGGCTGTTTCAAGAGAATCTGCACAACTCAGAATTGACACTTTCACTAACCAGTCAAAAAAGGACATTGCAAATGCTGGCTTCTTTAGACTTCTGAGATGCATGGAGAAGGATTTGTGAACTGTACATTTGCTACGATATTATATTCACCCAGAACACATGGGCTTGTCACTTGCAGTAACTGTTTTCTTTGTAAGAATACATGTAAGAACTCTCTGTAAAAATATGTAAGAACATATTTGAGATTATAGACATTGCATAAAATAGGAGAACTCAGAATAAGGAGGATGCCAAATACACTTCCTGAAGATTATTTGAAAATCACGTGTAGAAACCGTAACAAGGAAAAGCCTAACTGAAATACACACACAGTTTCTGTATTTTTATTTTTTTAACAGCCTGTTATACCGATAGAATCACAGAATTGTTTAGGTTGGAAAAGACCTCTAAGATCATTGAGTCCAACCAGTAACCCAGCACTGCCAAGTCCAGCACTGAACCATGTCCCCAGGTGCCAGATCTTTAAAAATGCCAGTTGTCTCTTAAATACCTACAGGGATGGTGACTCAACCAATAGTGTATTTTCTCACAGAAGAGGTTTTTCAAGGTGCAGTGCACAGTTTCCTCTTCAGGTAGTAAGAAGAAATTGGACAGCATTTGAGAGCCCCAATTCACAGGTGGGAAGACGCTCTGGATATGCTCCAGGCACAATGAGCTTAAGCATGTGATCAGCAAGAGTATAAAAGGATGTGAAAAATGATGTAGGGATTAGACATTTCTCCCTCATCTCCTTCATTA